ACCAAGCTCACTGTCCCAATTCTACTGCCTGACCTCAGCATGCCCCTGTTATTCCCTCTGCATATCAATCATCCCCCAGACCTCACCCTTTGCACGGCACAAACCTCATCAAGAACATGAAGGAAAGCAAGGAAATACTGTTTCACTGCTTCTGCCAGCCTGGAGTGATCATTACAGAGAGCCTGGCATCGGTCTGATAGCTCTGAGTCAGGCATCCCAGTCACCCATTCCATAGGCAGTGAGGAGGACGGGAAATGCAATTTGCCTGTTTCTCAATGCTTGGTCCGTAGTATCAAAACAGGCAAATTTATCCTTTGGAAAATTTACATGTGACCCCAGGCTGTGGAGATAGCACAGCAGCAGTCTGGGCAACAAGACAAGGTGAACAAGGTGTCCTGATGGCTTATGAAACAAGAGTAAAAAACCTAAGCAAAACCCAAAAATGTTTCAATAGCTCACACAGTTCGATGGGTTCCACTTTTGACAAGATCTTGGAGATGCATCAGAAAGTCTACTTAGTCCCAGGCCTTAAGTTCTGAACTACTGGAGCACTATGACTGTACAAAGAAAATATCACTATAGTAAATATTACACATATTTAACATCAAAAAAACATTTCTGTAGCCTCAGTCTTTGAAAGAATCGCTTAAAATTTCTTTTAAAACCCATGAAACATAAATTGTATTAGATACTAATGACTAATGTAGTTATGTATCATAAATAGGCAAAGCTGTGCATCTCAATAAAAAACATAATTATATCTCTGCCAAAATAATTATGATGCTTGCATTGTGCCCATTGCAAGGAGTAAAATGGTACGGGAAATGGGGCCTTTCACAAAAAATGAATGTGTTTCTAAAAATTTTTTCCCCTCTAGGCGTCTGGAAATGTAAGGGATTGGATTTTTAAATACTACTGTAAGCTGTTCAGAAAACTAGGAAAAAAGGAGAGGAGGAAGGCAGAGTGGAAAACAACTTGCAAAGACATAATAATGTCTTTGAACTCTAGAGCTTATACAGGCGACAAACCAAGACAGCATGATGCGGGTCAAGCCCTCCAAACATGGCAGGGCTCCAACAGGAATGACAGTTTTCAAATCAAGCAAAACACAGATACAATGTGATCGCTTATTGTTCCTTTCTCTCCATCTGTCTTTAGAGTTTCCTTAAATTTAGTCTTCAGGAAGTTACCACCTGGCTTTTTATGTCTCTGGCTTAGCCTTACAATCACAAAGACACCTGCATAGATTTGTTTGTTTGTTGGGTTTTTTTCCTGTCTGCTTGTCTGTGGTGCCTAAAGCAGCCTTATGATCCATATGGCTTTGGTTTCCCTTCAACCTTTACTTTCAAAGCACCTACATCACATCCAATTAAACCTGAGTTTGCTGATGGGCTAATCTCTTGGGGTTTTTTTCTCTCCCAAATATGTCTTGAACATTTTCTTTCAAGAATTAGAACAGTTGAAACTTTAACAAAGTACCAATTCCTATTCTGCAATAAACACTGGAATTAAATATTACATGAATATTAAAAGCCATAAAATCTCAATCTAAATTAGTTTTGTACACTTAGATGTACTTTCTGTGACCTCTAGATATCAAAACAATGTAGGTTTGATTTATTTTTATAGACATTACAAAGCAATGAAATTTAAATAGACACAATCTGATTCCCTCCCTTCTTCCCCACCCACAACACAGTTTGAAGAGCTGCACACAATCTGCAATCTGACAAAACAAAAACCCAGGCTAGACATAGAGGGATGACACCACCCTTTCAGGAACGTATGATCAAACCTAGAGGAATACTCTTGTCCACAGGCAGGCTACAAGGATGCTAAAGGGGGCTAGACCACCTCCTGTACAAAGACAGGCTGAGAAAGTTGGGGCTGTTCAGCCTGACGAGAAGCTGCGTGAAGACCTCATAGCAGCCTTCCAGTATCTGAAGGGGGCCTATAAGGATGCTGGAGAGGGACTCTTCATCAGGGACTGTAGCGATAGGACAAGGAGTAATGGCTTCAAACTTAAACAAGGGAAGTTGAGGTTGGATATAAGGAAAAAGTTCTTTACTGCAAGGGTGGTGAGGCACTGGAACAGGCTGCCCAGAGAAGCGGTAAATGCTCCATCCCTGCAGCGTTCAAGGCCAGGTTGGACAGAGCCTGGGCAACATGGCCTAGTGTGAGGTGTCCTTGCCCTTGAGGTTGGAACTAGATCATCTTAAGGTCCTTTCCAACCGAAACCATTCTATGATTCTATGAAATGCGAAGTCTTCATAAAACCAAAGAAAACCACAAAGGAGATTTTAAAAACATACCTTAACCATGAAACACCTGGAAATACGCAGAATGTCACTTCACTCTCTGGCTATATTCCACAGTTGTTCTGAGGAAACTACTTTGGAAATGTTACAATGTTGCCAATACACTAACACTATCATCATCATACTGATACTCTTACTGATAGTTCTACATGTTATAAAATGGTCTTTCATTGCTTCTAATAACCTCAGGTTACAAAGCTGTTGAGACTTTTCCTTTGGTCACATTCAGACTATCTACAGCACAGTACAGTCTTGCTTTGTCCTGCATGTCCAGATGCTGTAACACAAATGGCAAGGATAAAAAGTTCATGTTTTTTTCTTTAAGTTCTATGACAAATTTTAATGATTTATACTTGAGCTCTTCAGGGAGCAGACAATTCATCACTTCTACTTTACATAGATTTAAATCAAGGGACTGGAAGTTGTCCAAAGTTAGCAAACAATTCTCTGATGAAACCAGGAGTATGACTTGGAAATTCTTGTTTTCCTCTTCCTGTCGTGTAGCTCCCCTGCATCATCCTTCCCCAGTTGCCAGGAACTGAGGCACAGTGTAAAAATTTTTCACTTTCTTCAGGGATTTCTTCAATATCACAGATGTTGTGCAGAGCAAGCCCAGCTTTGCCTTTCAATCATTAATATGGTTCCTTCAGCCATTACTGACTAGCTACGAGAGTCTAGCCAAATCTTCCTGAACATTTAAGGGTGTAAGCAGTTGTTTCTCATAATGCTGCAGCCTTACTGCAGTGTTTTTTTCAGCTGGGACTTTATTGAACCTGTACTGACAGTGAAGATAACACTTCTAATGCTATCGTAAAGAGTCTGGTTATACTCAAACGGATGCTTCTGCTACCAGAGCTGAAACATATATTCAGACCCGCTATGGAATGAGAAATGATCACGTGTCAGTTCCACAACATGACTGTTATTCTGACACCTAGAACTACAAGTCCTAAAGAGTCCACTCAGTATACCTTCCACCCGCCTTGGGAAAGCATCAAGAGAATCATCAGAAAACCTGGAATGGGAACCATGATATAATAAATACTATTCACTATCTTAGCAAGGAGGTTTTAGTGCCAGCAAAACAGTTCTTAAGTGGAACTGCAAGTGACTACATAGCCAAGGAAGCTTTGAGATGTGACTGCTTTTAATCAATGGGCCAGAAACACACGTGCAAGTTAAACCACTCGTTTCAACATCCTCTCCTCTCCCTACATCACTTGCCCACAAAGCAGGAAAGAGCAGGATCTGGGAGTTGTCTCCAGCCAGAAAAGTAAAAATACTATCTTAGGAAGCATAGCTATTTTTATAAGTAAGGATTAGCTACATTCTTTCTAAAGCCTTTTTTACCATTCTCACAGACAAACCAATTGTATTTCTTAATGAGGTGATTTCATGAGGTGTTTAAATCCCTTTGTTTCATGAAATTACAAGTGCTGGAGATCACCAGCATCCCACATATTTCAAGTTACTCAGCTGTGCAGGAAACAGTGTTTTTCTGTCAGATCTTCCATTAACTGATAATATAGTTAATTATAGAATCTATTATAATAGATTAGTCTATTAGTTTATTATAATAGATTATATAATTATACAGATTATATACAAATTGTATAATCATATAGTTATTCTATAAGAAAATAAATGTCAAAGCCTTCAATGACAAAGTCTAAATGTTTTTTTCTGCTTTCTCTCTCTCACAGACATTATCAGTTATGAAATGTTAATGTCCTTCCAAATCTGTATCCAGTACTGAGAGTTAAGGTTTATAAACTTGTTCTCCTCCTAGCAAAACAAATCATTAGTTTAATTAGTAAGAGAACTGTAATCAGCAGCCTTGCTTAACCCACTCATTTGTTGAATACTCATCCAACTTAAAAATTGCTGCAAATACCTTGGAGCCTGCACTACTTGGAAATGCTGCCTGTTACCATGAAGGGTCTTCGATGCATTATCTCAACCTGAAGGATGACACGATGTCCTAAAAAAAGTCATCTGGTGTCTCAGTATTTATCTGCTGCTCTGGACCTACTTTAATACTGACACAGGATAGTTAATGTTCCTAAATACAGTCTTGTTCTGGAGAAAGAATGGTGAGAATCTCTTAAACAACTAAATGCAAACAAAATTAAATAATAATAAAAAAGGCAACCCTTCTTCTAATTTCCGTGGAAATAACTCCAAGCACCCACCCATTTCCCTGCTCTGCACCTACCCCACCACCCCTGTCAGTTATTTGTCTTTGTCTATAAATGATGAAAATCCCATAATAGAGGACGTATTTGTTCAAATGTAAAGCATTATGTTTTGGAAAATAACAACATGGGCAAAGTTGCATGTTGTGATAAGGAGAAAATACTACAGTGCTTAGGGCATCTAACTGTAGCAGATTAGCTGACCTAGACCACAGAACACATGCTAGCCCTTCCCAGATTTAAGACTGGAAATGGCTGAAGTCTGACATTGTATGCTGCCTTGATGGAAGGAAACCACTGCAGCTATTCAGAATGCTGTGAAGTTCTGCTCACTATAGCAGGTAAAAAGGACTGGGTCAAGCAGTGCGGCTCCAAGTGTCAACAAGAACATGGTACTGAGTACTGACGTTCATTATCAAAGTTCAGAAAACCCTATTTTGTATCTGCAGGTTTGATTCAATAAAAAAATACAGGTTTTCTTCCACAGTTTATAAAGGCACTCTTGGGGAAGCCCGTTTTAGAAATCGAAGAGGAATCCTTGAATTAGCTGGAGCCATTCGATGTACTACAGGACGATCTCCTTTTGCTTACCTACGCTATGGATGCTACTGCGGTCTGGGAGGAAGAGGATGGCCCAAGGACAGAGTAGACTGGTAAGAGTAACTATTTACCTGAGTAATTAAGTGCTGAATGTATGCAGATGACAGCGTAAAAGGACTACAGTATGAATTAGGCCTACTTAACACCAGTGAGGGAACACATCTCATCAGACCACTAAGAAACTCTGAAGCATTAAAATTGTGTTACTGTAGATCTGCATGAGTCCTACTTGCCTTTAACTCAAACTCTCATTGCATTAATACTGGATTCACAGTACAACTGAGGTTCTTTGCTGTTGCTGCTTGGCCAAAAGCTGAAGAACTATAGTCTTCCTGGAGAAGCTTTAAAGCTCAAGCATTCAAGCTATCTATAAAGGAAAAATAATAAAAACCAGAAAAGCAATTGAAAAATCTTTTGATTCTACCACCACCCATCCCATTTTATTAGTATTCAAAATACATGGAAAATTATGCAAAATCCAACCTGCTGAAAAATACCATCCTAATAAAAGCAGTTATTTATTTTATTATTAAAAGTAGTTTATTTTATTACTAAAATAATTCTAAACCCAGACCTTTGTATTTAGCACTAAATCTCCAGGACATTGACTACCATCAGTTTCATTTATAATTGAATATTAGCTGTCAGGAAGATGATTTTCTGGTTACAGTAGTTTATCATTATAATGATACATTTCCCCACTGTATCTGACATTAAGTTCTGACTTATCAGATAGATAAATTGTAAATTAAAAGGAAAGCATCTGATGCTAACTTTTAGCGGAGAATATATAGAAAGTTCAAATCAGGTTTTTTATTTATTTTTTAAAATAATAGTTCTAGTTGGGATTAGATCTAAAACTTTTAGAATCTTAGCCTACATATTTCAAATTTCTGTATGTGCCATCTGTTATTTTAAAGACAACTTTGTAGAACGTAGTTGCTACTTTAAAGACTGGGAACACATACGAAAAGAAGGGACTATTACTTCTACTCATCTGTATCCCTAAAGATAATGATGGAGAATCTGCAGTTTGCTGATCTTTCACTGTAGGCCATTTTTTCATACTGTAGTCCCACAGCAGCAGTAAGCTGCTGCTTCACAACGCATGGTTAGCTATTTGTGGTCTGGGTTTTAACAGCTACAGAATGTTAAGAACAAGCCAGAAGTCAGTGTTCTTACTCTACTGCATTTGACCTGAATCAAGAATTGTATGTAGACACAAACATTCTTACGAAGTCTGACTTCTTAAAGTTTTTATATACATCATGGGCTGTTTACATTGAGAATTATGCCTGAAAACAAGTTAAGTGAAAACACAGAAATACTTAATCTGAAGTAAAAACAACACTAACGGTATTATTCCAGGCCTATCTACTGCATTTTATATTTTTGCCTGCCACTTACAAAAAACCCTTTGAAATGGGGACAATCATATATTGATTTCATAAGATAAAATATAAAATCCTTAAGCATCTATTTTTATTTAAAATGCTTAAAAGAGGACAAAGGTAATTCTAAAAATGGTTGTAAACACATGAAGATAGACTGTACACTAGGAAAAGGAGTCATATCTCCTGGGTTATTTACCTCAGTACTGCTACAAAGACTCACTAGATTTATTTTCTTATTTCTATGGATGAAATGGAAGTATTAAGCTACTTCACAAGCACATGCTTTTCCACTGTTATGTACCACAGGATCTTTAAATGGCAGTTCATGTGGAATTACCAAGTAATTATTTAATAAGCATAGGACAAAACAGTAATTCAAGAGAGAGCTCACAGCATTAACTCTTCTACTGCAGACACAAATTCCTCAGGCAATCTAAACACCACCTAAACATTATGTGCCTATGGTAGTATGATGGTTTTAGTTGAATGACTGAATGCAAAGAGCTTGCGGATACACGTTGGTGTTCTTCCACCAAGTCAAAGAAGAAAGAGTATAGTTAGTTTGCAGGAAGACCTTACAAACTATCTAATTTCAGGTCTTTACCTCCCCTACTTGGAATACTGGGATTGCAATGACTACACCAGAAGAGTAATTTTTTTCTAAGCTTTAAAATACGCCATTAATGCTTTTCTGTGACAGAAAGTCTATTGAACTAATTCATTGTCCCAATTGTAACAATTCTGGAACCATCATTTTGGGCATTTTTTCCAAATTCTTTCATGATACAGAGCAAACAGTTTTAGTTCTAACATGGCAATAAGCAGCACACGTGCCTATTCCTTACTGAACATTTCACCTTATTTCAGCTTTTCTGCCACCATCTAAGGACTTTCCGACACGACAACATTTATGATAATATGCTACAGCCCAACAAATCTCGTCCCCTTCCTGTAACTAACTGTTACAATAGCATTGATAACTAGCAGAAAAATACTTCATTCATTATCTGGCAGACTATTCTGGCTTTCCAACTTTTTCTTAGAAAGGGCTAGGAAAGAGATATACCCACATAAATGTTTATTGTGTTTAAAATGGAGAATGCTTCAAAGATTCCTTGTATTTTCATCTATGAGGAAGTTCAACTAGATCAATGTATATCAGACATTACCACTGATTACATGAAAAAGCAATAATTTTTCCAGGTGATCTATTAAACAATTACCCTGTTCTGCTTCCTGGGCAGGTAACTGTTTGTACATTCACATATGTTGACTGTTTTATAATTTCACAGCCTGTAGAAACATGCTGATGATAAACATCCAGATTATGTGCCCATAAATCATCACAGTCTGAATTAAGGCAAGCCCATTTCTGTCACTCTCAGGTGCTGCTTTAACCATGACTGCTGCTATGGCAAGGCAGAACAAGCAGGCTGTCACCCCAAGATAGAAAGTTACCACTGGGAATGTGAAGACAACACTGCTGTGTGCGGTGAGTGAACAGTTCTAGCTGGGGGGTTTGTGTCTTTTGGGGTATTTTTGGGGGGGTGGGGAGGAAGCAAAGCAGTAGTTTTGTCTTTTTTCACTTCTCCCAATTGTCTCATTGATTTCACAGAAAAAACATTTTTTTAATTAACTGTAAAATTCTTACTTTGCCTTCCTTTCTTTTGTGACTTTTTTTACTCTGTGCCTCCAGAAAGCACAACTATGCCAACCAACTTAATGCAGTTTCCTCTTCTAATCCCCACCTACTGACATACATAAGCAAACAAAATTCTTATTTACAAGCTTCTATTACCCCTGCATGAAGCACTACCAAAACCCCTCTTTTACACATGTTGAGGAACCCATGTTAGGCTACTTCCTGCAAGTCTCCAACTGGAGCACACAGCTACAAACAGGAAATTATGACTGTTTAAAAGGATCCTTTTTATATTTAGCAGATAATATTTCACACCATTTGTAAGTCTATGATGGACAAGTTTTTGGCATACTTACACTGATCAGTTGCACAGCCCTCTGCTAGTGGCTACAATTCATGAATGAATTCACAATTCTAACTTCCAATTTCAAACAGTGAGGTAGTAAAATATTTGATGGGTATATTTATTTATGGAAGTAACACATCTACAAGCCATAACATGTTAATTTGAAACTATTTATATAATTAGTGTACAAGTTGCAACAGATGGTTGACCACATCCTGATTTGCTCCGAAATATGAATGTAATATACTGGCCACGCTGTAAGTATGAAAGAAAAGGACAAAGAGATCTCAAGAAACAAACAAAAATGTGGTTAAAAGGAAAAAGCAGCATTTCTTCTACGTTAATTGTCCATAACTCCCAGAGTTCTAGCAAATATTTTCCAACACACTTCAGACTGGGCTTTTTAAAACCGTAACTTTGCACATGCCTGAAAAATTGCAGGTTTTTTTCTTGTTGTTTTTAGGTTTGGGGGGGGGTTGGATTTGTTTGGGGTTTTTTGTCAAATCAGGCGCTAGGTCAGTTACCTTACATGCTACTATTTGCAATGTAAATCAGCTTGAGAATTGGTTATTACCTGCTCCACAAAAATACAGCCCCTCACATAAACCTGTTTACAATGGGTCTGAGTTTCTGACTACCAGAGTTTAAAGGCAACACAGTAGGCTGTTCACAAAAAACACAAAAACCTCTCATTTCATAAGTCAATTTAGAATTTGCCTGACCTGAAATAAAATTAAAGGTTTTTGACAACATTTGCATTCCTCCTTTTCATTCAATCTTTACTCTGCCTGTCTACCTCATGCAGAATCTCTACTTGCCAATTTCCTCCTCTGCTGCAGAAGTACTACATGTCTTCTCTCTCAAACTACCTAATTAACTGTCAAGTTACAGTCCACCTGTATCTGACTGTAAAGCTTCTGCTCCTGTCCCATCTAGAAGCTGACAATATTTTAAAATACTGGCCAAGACAGTAGGGCATACCATGGAGAAGCAGTAACAAGAGAAGGAACAGTTTTTCTCAGTTAATGTTTGTTGGGGTTTTTTCATTCGATCATGTTGTTTATGCTACTTAGGCTATTGAGTAGTTCTCAGGGTAGCTCGCTGCAGCTTCAACATGCACACATTAAGAACATTTCCATTCCATAGCAGACTTTGAGTTCATTCACAAAACTGAAAATTTGTTCTGCTCCTAGATTAATCTGAGGCAGAGATTCAGCTATGCTTTCAAAATGTTAAATACTCAGACAAAATATAATCAAGGATTCTTCAGTTTATAGACAGTTGCAGAGAGAAAATGCACACATTTCTGGGTTGGCACAATAAAACCAAAATATATTGCTGTAGAAGAAAATGTTCATGCCAAGAAATCTGTTGAGTTACAATACTAGAATTTTAAAACAAATATGGCCAGACATGGATTTTATCATTCTTAAACACACTTTACCTAACTTATTACTGAATGCCTTAATAGAAAGAGTTGGGCGATTTTAAACAGGAAATATCTTTGCATCCCCTATTTCACATACATAATTCAAATGTGGCATTCTTTAGTAAATTGAAGTACACGTGAAATGGAAAATATCTTCCAAAACTTCCTTCTAAAAAGGAAGCAGATACCAGAGTTCCTTCATTAAAGAACATGAGAAGGGTATTTAAGTCTTTATCTGATTATTATTGTATTTTCACCTGCTAAGATAGTTCCAGTGATTATCAGTCACTAAACCAAACCATGGTTGTACATTTTATGTTGCTGAGATGCCCTAGCATCGAGCTCTGTCTGAAGAACATGAAAGAACTGTAAGACTTACTAAAGCTTGCTACAGTTCCTATTGCACTTGAAATATAAAAGTCATTTATATGGCAAATATGCAACATGAGGTAGCAATTCCTGGTATTTCATTTGCTATTTTTAATTACTTGAGATTAACTATAAACTTACTGTGTTTTCTTTCAGAATCACTAGAAGACAAATGTCAAAAAATGGCATGTGAATGTGACCGTGAAGCTGCCAAATGTTTTTCTAAAGCTCCCTATCATACAAAACACCTTTTATGGCCAGACTTTATGTGTGGTGAGATTCAGCCTTTGTGTAGGTATTAGATATATGACATCAGTCTTCATGAAATAAACTCTGTATGTATTTAAATCTGAATTACTTTTTTTTTTTGAGTCACAGAAGTGACAATAAATGATTTTCCCCTTTCTTGATCTTCCTTCTGCCACCTCAGCCTCTCCACCCTAGAATGGCCACGGTAAACATGTATACTCTAATTTACCTTCTACAATGCACAGACTAAAAGGAAGGTCATTGGTTCTGTGTAACCTCTTTTTGACTACACAGGAATTTGAGCTTGAGACACTGACTTAAAATTAATTCTATTTATATTCAGATTCACAGATTTTTCAGACTCATAATATCATTCACTGTAAACTCCACTGGCTGTAAAATAAAAATCAAACTTTTGTACTAACATTTACCTTACAGTTGGTTAACTTTGAACAGACTGTAAGAAAGGCATGAAGTGACAGTGTCAGCACAGGCCCCTCTCATCGATATTAAATAGTTATTATAAAGCCAAATTAAACTTTTGTGTCTCATTTACCTTAGTCCTACATGTATTAAAAATCCTAATAAAATTCTTTTTTGCTAGTATTTACTTTTTAAATACAGTTTTCTAAGTTCATTTCATATGGTTTAAGCTTCTTAGTTTACATGCACCTGTAGTTTCCTGTGGGCACAGTGAGAAGGGATAAGTTCTACAGTTTCATTAAAAACTTCAGAGCCAGATTTAAAAGTGCAAATATAAACCATCCGCAAGACAGATGAACGCAAAAAGTAGCAGCCACTGGGAGCAACTGCCTTCCCCATAAGCATTTCAACAGCATGACTCTGTGGTTCAGAAGTATATATACCTCATAAGGATGTATAGAGGTTTTAGCTAGGGTCACTTCGTAGTTTTTTGAAACCTCTTATGAACTCAGTAACATAAATTGATAAATAATACACTTTTTCATAACTGCTCATTTTAACAGTTCAAGAACCAGGAGTGTTTTATGTCTACTTTCAACCACCTCAACTCACTTACACATGCAGGGCTACACAAATTTGCACAAGTCATAGCTAATGACAAGTAATTTAATATAAATAAAACCAAAATACGTCTTTAGGAAGGATGAAGATTTCAGAAGAGATCTTTAATCTTTAAAAAAATTCATAGGCAAATTTAAAATTCATATTAATGTTACAAATGAGGCAAAAAACCCAAACACAACAAAATCAACCAACCAAAAAAATCAAATCAATGTAGAACGCAAGGGGACAAAGCTCTTAAAAAAAATAAAAATCTAACTTTTGCTTCAGTCAAAAAACGTACATTGACAAATAGCAATTATGATTACACAAAATAACTTTCCAGTCAATATTTGCTCACAGATCTAGATATGCACATTATACTGCAGTAAGATGTGTCAAGTCACTTTTCCAAATTAATTCCTTTTTAAGAGATAACCCTGAATTTAAGAATTAGCAACAGACTTCAAGAAGAGAGCATTAAAGAAACTACTGATGAAGTCTAACTGATCTGCATCACCACATTTTCCAGAGGACAAGAAAACTCAAGCAGTCTTCCTCTTCAACATCAGGAATTTTAGAATGCTCTACTGTGAGACTATATATTTGACAGTCACAACTTCACATAGAAAGCTGAAAACACTGAAGCACTTTCAGTATCAAGCCCATCCAGGAAGAGCTTTCCTTTGGCATATTGAAGTTGAGGAACACAGTGTAGCTCTTCAGAAAACTCTCATTTTAAGGCAAGATTGAAAATAACTGGAATGCTCAAGACAAAACAGATAAGTTTGAGTTGATCTAAAATAGGGTGACATGACTGTGTAAGTTTTACATGGCGAAATCAGGAATGTAATTATTTTTCCCCCCATAGAAAATTACTATTGGATAATAAAGCCCATCCTCTGATTTGGAATCAGCTGGTTTAAGAGTAACTTATCTTAAGGCTTTTTTTAAATATGTTTAAATTAACATAATCCACGACTTTCACTGCCACATATATGAAGATGAAAACCAAAGTTTATTTCAAGCCCATTTTTACAAGCTAAACAGCTCAAAAGTTCCAATACCAGTCACTGCACTTATGTCTCGGTACGCCTTACTTCTTTAACCACCTGATCAATGTTTGTAATTGGGTTAAAGTACAAGGCCCAGTAAAACAAACAATTGCAGACAAACTGAGGAATAAAAGGCCAAAAAATGGCAACAAAAAGACCCTGGCTTAATACTTTCCAGAAATGTCTCCACATTCTGTGAGGAATAGTCCTGTGAAAAAGGAAAGGGAGAGGCTTAGAGGAACTTTCCATTTTGTTTTTACCCATTCTAAGAAAAGCTTGTATGTGCTGCAGCCACAAATTATTTAGCCCTTACTCAGGTACCTAAACCCCACCATTTTGCATTCCAGAAAAAATTTTTTAAATTACAGTAAAACTAGATTTTATACACGGAAGCATTAAGTCAATTTATTCAGACCACAAAGCACAGCAAGTTAAAGTGGTTCATCCCACATTATTTCCATGTTTTCTTTCCTTCCTGTTCTCTTTTGAACATGTTCTGCCCCCTAGCTGTTGGTAGAGAAGGTGAAAACCCAGTATACACCAAAACAAGAATTTCTCCTACGCAAGTTCTAAAACCTGTAACAGCAGTTATGAAGTAACATGAACATGCTTGAATTAAAGCTAAAGCAGTAAGTGAAAACAGCAATTCTGATAACCTATCAGAAATAATACCAGTGTAAGTAAACTTAGTCATGATCCTGAGGACTCATCCTTTAATAACTATATTGTAAGCATTTAATGACAAAATTCATATATATTTAGTACTCAGCTGACAGCTAATACCAGTTACCATAAAAGGCAATTCTCAAGGTAAGAGTTTATATTTACCCAATGGTTAAGAACATGCTTATTACCATTATTCTAGTTGCTACATCTGATCACTGAAACCAGCTATAAGAAGCCCTTTCAAGTATCCAGAGAAATATAGTCAAGAGTGAGTACTAGTGTACGTGTGGATTCAGACTTGCATGTTCTTATTAACCTCAGAGTTATGGTTAGACATTGTAATTTCAGTGGGCAACTGTCAAATCGCAAGACTGTTATGTTCTACTTGTAAGGCCACATACTTCCTACCCTCTTAAACAAGCTCAGTTAAGACTTACTTCAATTCTCTTCTTGACCAGAGCCTCCAAAAGGAGAATAACTCCAGAACAGAGAGCAACATGGCATTTACAATTATAAATCTTGATGTCCAGTAGTGCACATCCAGCCAATCCCAAGCAAATTCAGCTATCAACTGGTATGGCAAAAATAAATACTTTACAATAAATTCTCTCCACTGTTTCCAAGAAGGATCTTGAAGGTCCTGTAAATGAAGATAAAAAGACTATTAATCAATTTCATATTAAACAGATACAATACTGACTTATTTCCACTACAGTTTTGTTGAAAAAATTTTTTTTTCATACATTGAAAGCAGTAATTTAAATGTATGAAATACTTTCTGGTAGGTAATACTATAACCCTATAATTTCCATTAGGTAAGAATAAACCACCACAGACAGCCAGACTTTTTTAACATTTGTTAAAATACAGGTATTTTGAGTAAGCAGCCTTTCTACAGCAATGTGAACTTAAAAAAAAATAAATCTGTTTCATAGATTTAAAGTCTTAAGACCCTTACATCAGTCTTATTAAAGGTAATGGTCACAACACTGGTGATCACATACAATAAAATCAAGGAAACATTTACCTTATTTTTTCTTTAAAGTTGTATTGTACAGAGATGAAATGATGCATAATTACATCATGTGTTTTTATGCTGCTATCTTAAAATGCTTGTAACTACAGCAAGTGGCATATTTAACGTTTTGAACACTTACTGTTAGTTTTGTGACAGTATCTTCATACATGTCTTCTTGTGTGGGGCAAATTGTGTGGATAAAAGGTAGGAAAGCTTCTGCATAATCAAACAAATACAGGTATAACATACTAAGTCTTGGAGAACTCTTCAGTGCATACAGAAGAAAAAGTGACTTTCCTGGATTTACTGCCTGAAAGATATCAAATTATTGTTTCAAACAATGAAAAGATAAGAAGAAAGAGACATGCCAGTTCTTAGATTTTTCTGACTACCATTTTTCAAAGGATCATTTTTCGAATACAACCGTTCAGTAAACTGAGCTGTTTTTACAAGCATAATTCTACTACCTTAACATTCCTCCTGGCTTTAACAGAATTCTCATTTAAAGATATTTTAAAAATACTTAATATACATGACAGGCTTTATATAAAATTTACCTTATATTCCCAAAGGTTCTGTGGTGGTTTAACACCTAAAGCTTTCACACGTTCCAGTTCCGCCATAATAGCTTTCCTGTGGTTATTGTTCTCTATACTGTACGGCTCTTTTGTGAAATCCTCCTCTGTCAGTGTCAGGAGGAGTCTACAAAAGCAGAAGAATTCAGAAGGTAAACAGTGCTCCTTCCCTAAAAAGATACAACTACAAACTAGCAATTACATACTGAAACAATAAGCAACTGATAGAAGGTATCACCTTTTGGATTACAGAACCATAGAATGGTCTGGGTTGGAAGGGACTTTAAAGATCATCATTACACTCCATATCAAGTGTTCTAAATCAACTGCGTCTCAGAGCCTGGGTTTTAGATATCCCTCAAGTTTTTTCTGGCCTGCTTTCAGCACGCAAAATTATCAGCTTGTTGGCTGGCTACTGAACACAATTCTTCAGGACTTCACATATCGAGTCTGGTCTCCTGAAATCAAACCCAGAGCTCTTCAGTGGAATGCAACTATGCATATAAAATACGCATATTTTCACAAGAAAGATAAGGTGGGAGGGGTGGATAATACATTAGAATTCTACTTTCAGTATCATTACAGTCTGCATTGTCTGCATTTAAAGTAGTTCATAGAAAACTTTCAGTTCCCTTGCTTAGTACCTATTACTAAAGTTTTCAACTACAAGTGTTAAAACCTGCCTGGAATTTTACTCTGATACATGAACAGAGTATTTCCACAATCTACAGAATGAAGTATGGTCATTTCACTGTGTACCATCCCTAACAAAAGCTCTCCAGTAGTCCAATCAAATAAATGATAAGTGTTCTTGACAATCAGGCCTCTCACCTTCCATTCACTTTCTCCAGTAAAAATCTTTCTTTATAATGCAAAGCCCATAGGCCCAACTGCTCTAGCCAAATTATCACTTCCTCAGCAGTCCATTTAGCAACAGGCTTATGGACAAGAAGATCTTCTTCAAATTCTCTGCTGCTCCAGTGATATCCAAGTAGAACTACCTATAGGTACATTAAAAAATAAATAAAGATATTATTTACCTACAAAGCAAATACACTAATGATACAAATAAACAAGCATTACGTGGCTTGACATGTAGAATCTCCCATTTGATGGACCCTAGACTATTCAGGTTATTCAGACAACCCTGAATGCTACCTCATTTACTCCATTCACCCGAAGTCTGTTCTGTGCTGACCATGTTTTGTATGTGCATGTAATTTAAGTATACCAGATTGCATGCTTAATGAAGTAAATATGGAAAACCAACCAGATGAAACTTACTGCTACACAAGTTAAAGCTGTCAGAACGCCTGAGAAAAACCCTCCTCCTTGAGGATTAATTCTTCCTGTGTTCCGAACTGTAGGCATCTGGTCATTCCCATATTTTTGGAAGGTTGCTAAACTGCGTGCTACATCACTGTTTTGTAGAATATCTTCTTTTCTTTGTTCAATGGCATCAGAAAATAGCTTTTCAATAACATCCCTAATAGGAAAAATATTTGTCATTGTACTACAACCATTGAGGCTTAACATTCAGAAAAGGAACAGATTTGGTGGGTTTTGTTTTCCAGCCTCTATTTAAGACTGTCACCTTTGAAAGCAAGAAAACATTAGTTATTAATACTTAGCAAACTTAAATCAACTACTTCCAAACAATATTTTTCTTAGCTTCTAAAGATAGGAGAAATTAAAATATAGCATTAAAAAAAAAATTCTTATTTCTTACATAAACTAGGATTGTGTGTGCTACTGGCAAGCTTTGAGTATAGTATTCAAAAAAGCTAAGTAAAAGACGACATAAAATCCTACCATCAATCCTACGATCTATTTACTAAAATATTTCTAACCCAAGAGAAAGTATTATTAACACAACAACTCATAGGTAATTCACGACAGCAAATTGGTATTTCTAGCTTTGTTCTGCAATCAGATTACATTCCTTCCCACAGATAATTCCTATTACAGAAATACATACACAATTATCAAAGATTACTCTAAATTAGAATTATTAGGAAACAACCAGCTGTATATAAAAGATGCAAATGTCTCAATACTAAATAAAGATCCCTTGTCCCCATCCCCAAAAAAATTCAGAAGGGGAAAATAAAAAAAACAAACCCAAAGCCCCAAACAAAGCCAACCAACCCACCCCTTGGTTCCATGCAGAAAAGTGTGCTTGAACGGATCAGTACAGGTGCATGACTACATTTGAAACCAGGATTTAAACATCCCTGTGACAGTCTGGATTACCAATAAACTATGAAAATGTGCAGCAAACTCAAGAAACCAGACAACTAGTTTCGGGGGTTTTAGAAATCCAAAAATGGCACAGTACACTCACCTGAAGAGGATGTTGACTTTGGGGAATCCTTCCCATTTTTCTCTGCATTCAGGACATTCATTCTTCTTGGATGACACCCACCACAAAGCTAGGCAATGTCTACAGAAACTGTGCCCACAGTTCAGGGTGGTGGGATTGACCATAATGTCGTAACAGCAGTGGCAAAGGAACTCACTCACTGATATCCGCCGACCAACCTCAGCAGCAGCATGCGTTTCAACCTCTGCCCTCTCCATTTCACCTTGCAAAGTCTCATCTTCTTCCATCTTCTTTTATGCCTTATGCAAACAAAAAGCTCTCTTAGATCTTCAAAGCAGGTACGGAACTACTTCTGCAAAGCAACAAGATAAACCTCCTTAAGAAAGATTAGACTTGTAAGCAGTATAATTTATTGTCATTCTTTTGTCGCTCTGATGGTTTTAAATAACTAACTTAGCTCTCCCCAAAATAAAACACGACCTTCTACCTTTTCAACAACATATTCATTGGAAACTACAATCAAAATCAGATTCTACATGTAAACAGCAGGGCTCAATCTCCCTATATTTCCTGTGTTACAGAACGCATCAAAGTGAAACAAAAAAAACTATGATTCAGATGACTTTTGACAGTATTTTCAAGCGAAGTTTTAGTAAAAGACACTAATCTAAATAAGGATCATTAAAAGAACACCATCAGAGAATACAAAAATAAAACACCAGTATATGTAATGATCTAAGTTACTTCATCACTATTCTTTCCAAGCACATGGAATAAAACATTACTAACAAAAGTCAATGCTGGGCAATGTTAAAAAAATATATTAAAAAATCGATCCACAAAGTCATACATTACAGCATTATAAGAGATTGACCTGCTTGCATCTCAGTGAAGGACTGAACTTCGTATCACTTCATCGGTAATTACTCTTTCCTAGTATTACACAAAACGTACAAGTTAGAAGAGTTTAAGATTGTCCCAATATTACCAAAACTATTAAACCTACTTGCCTGACGTTCCTATTATATTCTCTAAGATTGCTGAATCTAGTTTCCTAAGAAAAACTCTGATCCGGATCAGGTCATGGTATGCGAGACGCTATCAAAAACTACAATTTAGGTCACTCATTGGTCACAGTATGTTAGACGCTATTAAAAACTACAATTTTCTGCTCTGGCACTGTCAAACCAAAATGTTTACACTCTCCACCACGTGGCTCCTCGTTAGCACTAAGTTACCATCCTTCCACCCAGATCAAGCACAAAGAGATAAAGATACAAGCTGGTAATGAAAAAACATTAAATAATAAAAAAAGAAAAAAAAAACAACAAAAAAACACCAACCAAACAAACAAAAAAAACCCAACAAAAACCAAAACCAAAAACCACAAGCAGTACAGAATACAAACCGATAGTGCAACCAGGATCCCCAGACTGCTGACAGTCTTTCCCCAGCAAAGCAAAGATTGCTGGCTTTCTAAAAGACAAACCTGAAACATCAGTTACACAAACAGGAAAAAAAAACGTTTGGCACCCAAAACACTCTTCTAGTTTTCCTGGAAGAGAGAAACAACGGCATTTCTGTCGGTGAAAAAATTATTTTCACCAGTCTCTGCAGCAAATTAGATCAGAGTCAGAAGTAGAAGGCTCACAGGCCCCTGTCCTGCCTCCCCTTTCCAAACTCGGACCGTACCCTCCAAGGCACCGGTGTTTCGGGCCTGTACGGACGAGACGGTCTCT